ATGTGAAGAAGCTGTAAATTAATCAACCAACCCTTCTTTTTTGATGGGAAAGAAATAGACGTGGAAAGCTGCTGTTTTGTACTTGTTTTTTTCCTTCCTTTTTGGTGGTTGAGTTGTTTTTTTGGCAACTTGTTTTGATGGGGAGGGAGAAAAGTGGCAAATATTTGGGATGCTGATTGCTAATTGGTGTAACCAATCTTTTGTTTGACCATCAGTGACATGTTAAAGTTTTGATAGGTAGAGAAAAATCATACGTTAAAATTTTGATATGTAGTAGAGAGTTGACACGTTAAAGTTTAGATATGTAGGAGAGAAAAATGACACGTTAAAGTTTTGATATGTCGTAGAGAGTTTTGATATGTAGTAGAGAAAGACAAGTTAAAATTCGAGACATTTTTTCACTTTCTAAAAATTTAGAGAGTTTTCAAATTTTGGATGGTGGTTGACATACCAATCAAGTTTTAATATATAGGAGAGAAAAATGTAAAAACTTTTGGCAAGTTTTAATATATAGGAGAGAAAAATGTAAAAACTTTTGGTAAGTTTTGATACGTAGAAGAGAAAAATGTAGAAAGAGATCTTTTTTTCTCTTTAAAAAATTTAAAAAGTTCTCAAATTTTGAATGGTGGTTGACATACGAGTCATTTTTGTAGGCGGTTTGGGATTTTTTATACTAGAGATTTAAGGAAAATTATTTTTAACTAATGGGTATGAAAAATATTAGGTTATTATTACGAGGGTCACTTTAAATAATTTCTCTATTTGTAGTCTATTAAATTGGAAATTTGAAAATGGTCACGTTCTTAAGGAGGGCTTGTATATTTCAATGGTAATACTCCTAACACAGTAACATACTTTTAAGTCTAAAGTCTAATTTGTTGGAATTAAAATCAAACGGTAACAAAGGTCGGTAGAAATCTTCTAACTATTCTATGTTTCTTTTTTGACAAGTAAGAGAGCGCAAATCTGAATATAGTTCAACAGGTTAAGGTATATATTTTTTGCTAAAATGTTTGAATCTCCCCTCGTTGAACTAAAAAGAAAAATCGTTCATTGTACTGTGAATTGTGAATACATCATGATCAAATTAAATCAATCCAAAACACGACTAAATTGGTAATTTAACCGGATATATATTTTTTATTTTTGAAAAAGTTATATTGAAAAGTAAACTCTTGTGGAAACACATGATTTGAATTTTTGGGTTATTTGGAATAAAATGTCTTAGTGAATAAAAATATACATTTGAATTTTTCACGAGTTAACCAAATATTTTCTAAATTTAAAAAGTTGCATAAAGTTATTCAAATTGGTGAGGCGCATCTTATATTAGAGATGAGACTTTGTCTTACCTCAATTAAAAGAAAGAAACATGCAAGAAAAGACAACATCTGAATAAAATTAAAGTTAAGAAATAATAATAATAAAAAATAAAACCATACAAATTTGACCCATAATTAGTTAACCCAACATTTGAAGCAATTTCAGATATATCATCCATGTCTACGATTGTTTCTAAAAAAGCATGAAATAAATTCATATGAAAAATCAAAAAGTTCATAAAAAATATCTAACTAATACGTGTATATTGTTGGAAACTAACAATCCTGTATAATTTTCCGTTCCATAGAAAATATCCAAACACAAATAAAGAAGAAAACTGCAAAGCACCAGATAACGACACAACAAATTATACTGATTCACCCTTAAGGGATACGTCAAGTCTTTTACTCACATGTGTGTAATTCACTAATAATGTTATTAGAATACAAATCTCTCCTAGAGGTCCCAGAAAAAATCCCCTAACTCCTAAGTATTTTAACACAATTAATACTTAGGTACTTGAATGAAAAAACTCACAAAAATCAAGATCTAATTACTCAGAATATGATGATCTTGATTAACCTCAATGCCTATGTCAATCCCCCAAGCCTCTCCCTTGAAACTGCCACGAAAACCCTCTGAAAAACAGCTGAAATGGCTCAAAATTTGACTTGCAAAACCCTAAACCCGAACTACAGTATTTATAGATCGAGATAGCATTATGGCGCTGTCCACGACACCATGGCGCTACGGACTGAGAAAGATCGCGCTTGCGCACCCTTTGACAGCACCGCGGTGCCCTCTATAGCGCCACGACACTGCATCCTCGGCCTCTCTGGCCTGGTTTCCTCTGTTTTTCATCCCTGCTTCGACCTCGACGCGTCCCGGCTTGATCCCGACTCATCCTTCCGACGTCGTTTTGGTTCCACCAATCCCAACAATCTCCCACTTGGAGACAAAGTGGCAATTCTTTGCCTCTCACTGCATCAACAGTGTTCCATCATCTTGACACCTTCAATCAAGACACAGTTCTGACTGCTCTATCAACAAACTGATCCATATTGCTAGGCCGTACCCAAGCTCTGTCTGTGATTGTTCCAAGACTGAGCAATCCTACGTGGTCTTATCTCCTAGATGTTAGAGACACAGCCACGTGTTCCCATTCGATCTAAGTGGTCCCCATCGCTTCCTTTCTCAGTCGAATCCCACCCAAGTCTGTTACTTTTTTAGAGACATCACCCTTGACTTCAGTACCAAATGTAGTCTTCTCCCTCAATGCACTCTCTCGCCTATGATACTTCATCAGCTCGCTCATCTGTCTGACAACTGGGGTATTATTCCGACAACCTGTTGAATACCTCGCTGAGTTGTTCCCTTTACCCTTTCCTCTATTTCTCAGATGTTGTACTTGAACTGATGGCAGATTCTTCTGATTCGTCATA